CTATTTAACAGAGTTTCCCTGTTTTGTTAAATTACAGATAATCACTCGTCAAATCACAGATTTATTTATTTTTTATTTACTAGTTAATTGTAACAAAACACAAACTGTCAGTAACGTTCACAAAGAAAACATGGTGATTAGTTCGTTTAGACCATAAAATTACACAATTTCACTGAATTTAAATCAGCAAAAAATATATATATGATTTACAGATATCCTGAATTTCCCCCGATGGGGATCAATAAAGAATGATCTTATATTTGCCATCCTTTGAAAGAAAAACTATTTATTATTATAAACTGAAATATAGTGAAGAATTTTTTAGCTGTTTTTCGATTTTTTCTGTTTTGGTAAATTACAGGTAACAGCTTGTAGCAGCACAGAAAAAAGTTTTAATTACTAATTAACTGTGGAAAACAAACAAACAAACAGCACAAGACAAAACTGTCAATATGTCAAAAATCTAAATGTTTAAAAATGGTCATTTGTTCTTTCACAACTTTTGACTGTGAAATGACTTTTTTATTGTATTTAAATCATTACTTTACAGATATTTTTCATTATTTGAAAGAAAACGATGTACACCAAGGACTGAAAAATGGTAAATAATTATTTTACATGTTCCTTGTTTGGTTAAAATACAAATAATATTAAAGTCACTGATTTAAAAAAATAAATATTTATTTACAAGTTGACTGTAAAAACAGACGTACATGTTACTGTATTTAAATCTACTAAAAATAATCCATATTTTATAGATATTTGTGGTTATTTCAGCTGTTTATGAACATTACAGTATTTCTTTCTGGTACCTTTGCTGCCAGATCGTCATGGTTTATTTTCCAGGATTGTTTTTTTTCTCTCTCTGTGGATCAGAACACATCCTGACACCAGTAACCTGTCGGCTCCCACACACTCCTGATAAAGACAACTCTGCTTCCTGTAACATGAACCTGGAATCTCTGCAACGTGGTGAAGCTGTTGGCTGAGTGCAGGTGGAGCACAACAACAACAACAACAACATGAAGAAGGGCTATTTCCCTAATCAGTCCAGCGTGAGGATGGAGTCTCATTAAGTGACCCCCTGCTGATAAACCTCCCACTTGGCAGGTTTTAGTCCAAACCCTCGGGGGGAGGAGGAGGAGATGCATTAAAGTCAGAGGAAACATGAACAAGAGCATCAGTTTGAAGACAGACATAAAGGAACAGATACAGACGCACACAAAGCGATAAATATAAACCACGGATGCTGCATGTGGGCCGAGTTTACAACCAATAATACGACAAACGCCGCAGGGAGCCGCACATTTAATAATAATCCAAACATGATGTCCTCTATAACATATAATAACCTACGGACCACGGGAGCTGCTCTTATTTCATCCTCCAATAGCAGGAAATCCACTAAAGCAGGCGAGAAACTTAATTAAGAAATATTTCAAAAAGGGGGAAAATCGAGGAGGACAAAGAGAGAATATCCTGTGTTTTTTTTTTATTCCCTCAGTGCGTCTCCTTGAAATATCCGCCGTCTAATTCAAAGAGAAAGAATATCATAGATTGGAGCGGGCATCTACTGAGCAAAAGTCCAAACTGTCACGTTGATAAATGAAAAAGTGGATAAAAGACAGTGATGGGAATACAAAAAAAAAAGAGAAAGTCCTGCAGCCTGCAGCAGAAAAAGGCCTCCGGCTACTTTAAATAGACTCTGACATGTTTGAATATTTGAGATTTTGCCCCAGAATGGCAGCAGCGACTCTCCTGAGACGACAGATATAGACTTTTATTTCCCCCTCTGCCCTACTGAAGTCCCAGTGAAGGCCGCCTCCTGAAATCCCCCCGAATGTGCTCTATGAAAGGCAGATATCTCCTCCTGGACTTGTCATGCGTGCAGCTCCGCTTTGGAAAACATCCAGCAGAAACCAATTTAAAGGCTGAGATGCAATAAAAACAAAAATTCAGAAATCCACTCAGCTGCTGATAACCACCTAAAAGAAAAAAAAAAACTAAGTTCAGAAGTTGTTGTTTTTTTTATTCTGCTAAAGCTCCAGAAGTGTTTCCTCTAATGGATCCAGGCTGATATCATCTCTCCCTTGTGTCGCCCATTATCATCACAACAAATCATATTTCAAAACAGACAAACAAAAAAATTAGATATTTTTTTAAATTTCCAGGAAAGAAGGCTAACTTTTGGCAATCTGTTTACTTTATGGCTGCAGAGAAGCTGCTGTGATGA